TTCATCTGTGCTGTTTATAATGTAAACTATTCATTTTTATTACTGCTTAGCCTTCCACTTGTGACAGCACCACAATGTACTCCTCCATTCTGCAGCAGATGGGACATATCTGTTGCTTCCACATAGCTTTTCCACCTAGTGTGAAGCTGAAGTTCTATAGAATTATCCAGTCCATTATAAAGAGTAAATTGCAATAGTCTTAAAACTAGAAATTTAGTCTAGGGTATGCCAATGTAAACCTCTTATTTCTTATCTAGCTATAGAAGGGGGTGCACAGATTTTGCTCTTTTCTATGATTGATCTTTGTTTGAACATCCCCAAGATACAGATCCTGATTTCCACTTTCTTTCCCTACTTTTCAAAGGTATCTTACCTATTCCTGTTGGCCAACCTTAACTTCACGCTTTATTTTAGGGTAGAGAACACTGTAGAGTACTAAATAAAAGCATGGCATATGCTTCTAACATAGCATGAAGAAAATAAATTATTTAAATATCTGGTGTCATGGTTGAATGTGTCCAACCATATTTCATATATTGTCGTTTAGTCCATCAGCAGGTATTTGGAGAGTCTGTGAAGAAGCAATAAAAAATAATGTCCTAGCGTGGCTGTCATCCAATATGACTGTTGTCCTTACAAAAAAAAAAGGAGAGCAGGACACAGCCATAAACTCAGAAGTAGACAGTGAGAAAACGTTGAAACAAGATGGCCGCCTGCTAGCCAAGGGAAAGGCTTCAGAAGAAACAAGCTGTGCCCGCACTTTATTTCCTGGATTTCTACCAAAACTGTGAGCAAGAAACTTTCTGTTTGTCAGTCACCCACTAGTGCAGTGGTATAACCATTCTAGTAAAAGAGCAAACAAGTCCTTTTGTAAATCAGTTGGCCTCAGTCCTATGATTTAAAAAAATACTGAAAAAATCGAAATAGCCAATCATTTAAAATAAATTTTGTTATAGTTATTTAGATGATTTGAGTAAATCTCTTGAAAATAGGCCAAAGGTTGGATGCTATAGTTATAACAAAATTCCCTTCATTCTCACCTTACTGATATGAACACATTTTCTCCATTTTCTCTATAGAAACAAAACATAGGACATTTTGTCTTTCAATTTCTAGCAAAAGTCATGTTTATCTAAATATACACACTATTTAAAGAGTTGCTTCATGAACTAATAGCTTATTAATATTTTAGTGTTTCATTGTTTCTATAAAATTGAACACATAGAGAGTGCTGGTTTTTGATCATTGTGTACTTTTCAAGAAACCGCAATAAAAAAAAGTCATTTGACACATTATCAAACAAGTTTGAATGTCAATTCATAGTTTGTTTTTATTGTAGAAAAAATGTTAATGACTTTCAAGTTTAAAATATATGACATTAAATTAAGCATAAGAAAAATGACCTCGCGAGATACAAGAACAAAGGAAAAACACTGAGAAAAAACCAGTCTGTTGAAGACCTATTTTAGTGTTTTCTAGATAGATGTTGGCGCCAAAGCACTGTGCTATTTACATCCCACTGGAAATATTTCACAAAATGATGTAATAGTTTTATTTGTAAAGGTTTGTTTTTACCACACATAGCAGCTTACCTCGTTTGCAACTTTTTAAACATAGGGCAAAAACAATTGAATGACAACTTGGAAATATGGCAGAAAAAATTTCACAAAATTCTGTTAGATGTTCAATAAGCAAAGAGTTTAAAGAACACTGCTTGACAACTAAAATTACGATCGCTTTGTCTATCATCAACTTTATAAGCCAATGTTAGACTACTAGGATAAGTATTTTAGAACACTGAAACTTTTTCCCTAATCTTTATCAATTTTAGGAATCATCATTTTTTAAACCAATGTCAATGTCTTATTATGCTTTTTTTTGGCATTTCTTTATTACTTAGGTTGAGAATCTTTTCATACACTTTTCTTTGTCTGTAGAAGGCCTATTCAGGCTTTGCCTATATATTTTCTTTTGGGTTGTGTTTTTACTTAACACTTAGAAATAATTGTTATTTTAGGCAGTAACTTTTTCTCAATTATGTGTATTGAAGATGCTTTCTTGAAGTTCAAGAATTTCATTTTTATCTTCTTTATAGGACTTCATCAAAAGACGTTTCAGTGCAGCTTATTAAAAAACTTTCCATGTAGCAAAATTGCAAAAATTATGTCTTCCATTAATTTTCTTTCCTATTTGTTTCTTCAATTAGTTTGGAATTGACTTATTAATGCTCAATGTGTATGCATCAAATTTCAATTTTTTCCACAAATAATTGTTATTATTTTTGAAAACATGACCCTTTACCCATTGATTCAAAGTGCCTACTGGGCCATAAATTAAGCTTTGCATACATACAGAAAGAGCCTTGTATCTGGGTTTTCTATTGTTTCTCTGGTTTAACTACTCTTTCCCTGTGTTGGCAGTTCATTAAGCCCATCTCCCCTGGGGCATACCATTTGACTACATTGCCCAGCAACTCTTATAACTTATTGAGTGTTACATGGAAGGAAGGCAGAACTTTTGTGCACCATCTCCAATTTGGTCCCCTATATTTTTCCATGAGATCCTTCCCAATCCCGCTCTCCTTTTGTCTGTGGCAGATGCAGAGGAAGCAGTGGAGTAGTTTGAATCTAATCAATGACAGAGTCCAGAACACTGAATAATTACATGAAGATGCTTCTCCTCAGCATGTGCCTCTGGATCTGCCAATCTGCATGGGACTTTAACATATATTATTGTTACAACTATTATTTGTTTAAATATGCATCAATAATTGATGTAAGATACCTAATATCTATTATGTAAAATATGCCTTTTATATGTATCATTTCTTACATATATGTGTATATACATATATGCAAGTATATACTTTATTTATGCATATACAAACACATATATACATATATACACACATATATATACACATATGCTTATATATGTATCAAATATATGATATATACTATATGATGCATGCACATAGGTGATATATGTATATATATATTTGTACCTATGTGTATATATATGTCTTGTTAGGGAAATCTGAATTACTGACCATAATTTATGGAGACAGAAAAGGTGGCTATTAAAAAATTTAAATGTAAATTGAACAAAAATAGGAGAATCAAAAGATTTTTTTAAAGAGAACATCCTAATACAAATGAATATGTACGCTGTTCACAGACTTTGGTATATGTGTTTGGTCATTGGAAAAGCTGTGTAAGAAGTCTTTGAATTGTGACTTTTGTATTTATTTTTAAACTTAGTTGCCATAGAAGCTCAAATTATTAATGTCTTCATATCAAAAATATGAAAAAGTTGAAAAAATTCTGAAGCAAATAACTCTTTATTGATACATAAACATACAATAAATACAATTAGAATATTATAATTGAATACAAACTGGCTTTGCAAGAAAGGATTAGTTATCTTCCTACAAACAGTGTCAAATATATTTGAGGGTGATCATTGAATAAATTCAGAAGAGACAGCAACAGACAAGAGATTTAAAAATATGTTTTATTGTCCAAAATAGACAAACTTTAATTTCCTTTAACAGGAATCTGTTATTCTGAATGCCTTTAACTCAAGAGCTCCCAGAAGCCATCATCATTTTTTAAGCAAAACAAACAAGAGTGAAAATGACAACTATTGGTGAAAAAGGATAATAATCGTTTCTCCATAGTCACCAGCTACAGAAACACAGTGACCTTCAGAGAACCTTGAATGACAGACAGACAGCTAGACAGACATGCAAAACAGTGTTGACTATTGATTGGCCCAGTCCTCTGAAGACTGTCTTTGTGGTTATTGTTCCAAACAATTTAAGAGCTCAATTTCCTAAAATACCAGCTCATTTGAGCAGTGACATGTGAGGTCACCTCTAATATCAGTCACGGGATCAGACTTGGTTTCGTTCCACCAGGATGAAGACTTTCGCTTCCACAACCCTGGGGATACATGTGGATCAAGTAGTGCTAATGGCTGGTCAGAACATCTGGATGAACTCCCATCCAAAACCCACAGCAAGGATACACTGAGTAGATCACTGTCAAGTGGAGACCCAATCTCTCATTACCATAAAAAGACAAGAGAGATATCTAGTAGTTGGAATAAGACAAAAACAAGGCAAAGCAAAACAAAGCTTTTATTAACCCCAAGGGGTGGGTAGAGATAGTGGAAAGAGGCTGAGCGTGTGTGCACAGGTTATCTGGGAAGATGATTTTTCATTGTCTAGTCTTGCATGAACCACATCTCCACCCCCAAAGCAGACTTGGGTCAATATAAACATCCAGAGATTGAGATTAAGGAGAGATCATATAATTAAATTCCCAGAAAAGATAAGAAACAAAATAACACTGACAGGTGAGATGGTTCATGTGAGAGGGTTCATACTAAGCATATGTAATGGAAAGAAATCGGTTACCAAATGAATCTGCATGGAACGGGCTAGAAGAAGCCCCTTTCCCTCCTTTATTCACAGATAGGTATTGATTGTTTGCTCACTGAAATGGATGACATACACAAAGCCAGTTTAACATTTCCATTTTTCTAGTTTAAAGACAGCATTCCAGAGTTGAGACCTAGGAAAACTGAGTTTGCCTGATACCATAAAGCTTGTAGGGTGAAATATGAGTTACTAAAAGACAGCTCAAGTTTTTTTTTTTTTTTTTTATCAAGTTTTGATCACAGAAGTGCAAGGAGATCACAAAAAAAAAAAAAAACAAAAACCATGAAACAGATTTGTGGTCGCTTGACATTTGCACTCCCTCTTACCCAAGGTGAAGTTCTAATTAAACTCATCCATTTCATTCTACACTCTAGGCCACAAACTCTTCAACAAATAAAAACACTGAAATGTCCCGTGGCTTGAACTCAGGGCCCGGGCACTGTCCCTGAGCTTTTTTGTTCAAGACTAGTGCTCTACCACTTAAGTCACAGCTCCACTTCCAGCTTTTTGGTGGCTAATAGGATGCAAGTAGCTCACAGATTTTCCTGCCCAGGCTGACTTTGGAACTGTGAGCTTCAGATCTCAGTCTTTTAAGTAGCTAAGATTATAGGCATAAGCCAAACTTTTCAAATTTGAGTAGAAAACTGTCAGGTAATTGTGAGCTTTTGGAAATTCTGATGGGCTAGACATCAATTTAATAAGATTCTATATTTGAAAAGATTATTTTGGAAACTTAGGAGAAAAAAAAAGACATGAAAAGCAAACTATGCAAAATCACTTTTCCATATTGTAGGACCAAGACTGAAAAAAAAAGGATAGAATAAAATGCAAAACTGAAGTAGGGTCCATTATCCTTCCTTCCTTATTCCTTTCCATCCCGTAAGAAATATGATGCACGTACAACAAATACACCTTCCTGGGTTATGTTGTACAAGTCACATCCCCTTGGATGGGGTTGTTATGAGAAACGCTGAAAGAAATTTGGGAGTTCTTGTTGAAGTTAGGCAGGGGCAAAGCTACAAATGGTTTTAAGTGAATAGCTGCATCCTTTTATTACCCAATCATAAAAGAGCTCTGAATACTCCCTCCCCCCCTCCCCTGCAACCTTCTTAGCACTCTTCAATGACTGTGGTTCCAATCAGAGAATAAAGTTTTTTCTTAACAAGTCGAAATCCGGAGCTGAGGATCAGAGTTCGCCTAAGGCCAGCAGAGAAGCGACCTCTACTAAAGAAGTCCCTAAAGCTAGCCCAGGAGCAGGTCTCCTGCTTAAACACAAGCGTCAGCTCAAAGGTAGGCACCACGCTAGCATCACACACAATCCTATCCAGCTTTTTACATACATTTTCGATTTCCAAGTTCACGTGCAAGACACAGCCTCGAAGGCCACAGGGCTCTGTGGAAGAAAGCCGAAGGACATCTTGAGCAATTCTCTGGGTCAGTTTCTCAGGAACAAGGACCTTGGAGCAACCCAGTTTGGTTTGCTTGGATTTGGATAGACAGTTCTCCAGCATTTTCACTAAATTCTGGCAGGTTGTCTCCTCAAATATAACCTCATTGAGGTTGGGTTCAGGAACAACATAATCCCAGTAATCAAAGTCTGTAGGAAATCAAAGTTTTAGATGAAAATCTAGGAGGAGGGCAAACAAACAAACAAACAAAAACCCAAACCTAACAAGATAGCAGCACTGGGTGCTTCCTTCTAGCTACTAAATCTTTGGTTTTTCTTTGTATTTTTCTCTCCTCCCTCTTTCTTGTCTATGTTTTTGTTTTCTCTTTTGAAATGGAGGTATAGCTAGCCTTCTACACACTTTCCTCTTTCTTCTACCTCTCAAGTGCTGAGGTTACAGGTGTATGTCATGATACCACCCTCTATCCGTTTCTAATATGTCACTGGGAGCTAACCATCTATTTTTTTGTTAAGCTAGTTAGATAATACAGTAAGTCATTTAACATCACGAAATTGAAAATTTATCTATAGAATAAAGGTATGCTAATTTAAATTGAAAAACCATATAGACATCACATATACATGTGCTTATATGTCAAAACTCTATTGTCAGTCTTCTAAAATTTCTAGTGATTTCCTTTCTTGCTTACTTATTTGTTTCAGAATTTTTCTTTTTTTAGTTTTGCTTTAGAAAACATTAATCATACCTGCAAGTAAACTTGTTACAATTTTTTTGATTGAGATACTGTCTTTTTTCCCCCTAAGAATACATATACTATAAAATACAGAATATTTTTGTAATTGTTCTTAAGTGAGTTATTGGGAGCTTGATGGATGACATAAAAAAAAAACCTATCAGAGTTACAATGTTTTTATTTTTTTAAGTATTTACTAGAATAGCCTCTAAACCCAATTTTAGTTCCAACTACTTTGATTAAAGATTGCTCAGAGAAGAAGAGACCTTTGAGGTTCGTGAGGTTATTTATAGCTGGCTAGGTAGTTTTTCTTAGCCAAGCAAAACAAAATAGACCTAGGGAAACAAAATTAGATTTGCTCAAAGGAAAAAAGATAGGTCTACACTTGGCCACTACCTCCCAAATTAATCCTAACACTTGACAGAGTGCCATACCACAGTCACCAGAGCAGGGCACAGGCAGCTGCCTGCCTGCTACCAACTCCAACTTCCTTCACCCCACTGGCTTTCTTCTCTCCACTTCATATATTCATGGAGAACATTGCTTTTTTTTAAAAATTCAACTAATACATTCCACATTATTAAGAGCTTCATCATTAAGCTATGCTGAAGAGAGGAAAATTGTACAGTCTGGGCCTATAAAATTAGATCACCACCTAATTTTACCTTGTAAATGAGAAAGACCACCCTACCCTTCCTCCCACCCCCACCAAATTTAAGCATTGTATCTATGCTCATACTGGTCTTTGGTGGCAGAGTGCTGTTTAACAACTTGTTGCTTAAAATTGCCTAGGACAAGCCGTGTAGAACCACTGCTGTGTGCAAAGTTTCCTTCTGACCTTAAGAATGGAATAATGGGAACATCCACAAATAGAATCCTACTCGGTAATAAAAAGGAACACACCGATCCCAGCAAGCATGGAAGGATCTCCAAACTACTAAGCTCTGGGAAAGAAACTAGATACCAAAGAATACATTTTTTTGTGTTATTCTGTTTACATTAGACTGTAAAGGCATAACTGATCTAGTGACAAAAACAAAAAACACCCCAAAACAGATGGGAGATGAGTAGTCTCTGAGGAGAGGGGAAGGCAGGGAATTGGTAGCAAATGGGCACACTGGAATTTGGGGGGGGGGGTGGCGGTGGGGGGGAGATCAAGAGAGAGGGGAGGGAGAGAAGGAGGGAGAGAGGATGCTGGCTACTCAGGCACACAAATACCTTTGTTAAAACGCACGTTACTGTACGCTTACTTTCACAGCCAATTAGGATAAGGAACTGGACTTCCCAAGCGGTTGGATCGACGCTAGATGATGGATGCAGCCCTTGGGGTATTTTATGTTCGTTTGTCATGAACAGATCCACCTTGGGGAAGTCTGGAAAGGGGTCCTGGGTGAACCTTGCGACCCTCTCTAAAGGGAGGGAGGGTGTGAGGTCTATGGAGGGCTGCGACCTTTGGAGGGGACAAAGGGGTGGGGTGGGGGGTGGGGAACTCACCACTTAGCAGGCTGCCCGAGTGACAGCTACGGTCCAGCAGCTCTGAAATGCTGGCGGGGTTCTTACTGCTCAAACTGCCAGTTGCAACCATGGTCAACGGCTAAGGTTTCCCTCGCGGGGCAGAACGGCCTTTCTGGGGTTCTGGGGAGAGAAAAACAACAACAACAACAACAAAAAAGAGATTTGCAAAAGTAACCAGACGTGCAGAGGATCTTAACCAACAAAACAAAACCAAAAACCGCCCCGCGTCTCCAGGGCCCAGCAGCCCAGGAACTCTGTGTGTGTGTGTGTGTGTGTGTGTGTGTGTGCGTGTGCCAACAGGAGCCTTTGCAATTCCCGTTGACAGAGCTCCGGGAACGGCTTCGGCCAACGACCCAGCCCACAGCCCGAAGGAACGCGAAAGGAAGTGCAGTTTGGAGAGCGGCGGGGCTCACCTGCGTGCACTTCACCTGGACCCACCCGGCGGTGTGGAATACCCGGAATACCCAGGGGGTAAATCGAGGCAGACACTCGCCACCCCCTCCGGCCAGGGATCGAGAGATCCCAGCCCGGATCCGCAGCGGGCTGGCCACCCACCACCACCACCACCCGGCGCAGACTCCAGGCAGCCTCTCCCACCTTGGGGCCAGCGGGCACTTTATAGCCCGGCGCCCCGCCCCCCGGGCCGCCCCGCCCCCCCGGCCGCCGCCCCGCCCCCTGGGGTCAGGTCGCTTGCACCCTGGTGTCTGGATTTCTCAGAGAGTTGGAGTTGGGCGGGGGGGGGGGGGGGGGGGTGAAGAGGGATAATCTCAGTTAGGGGGCCGTCGACTATTTCCATTCGTCAGGTCACAGGTCACCCAGACTTAATCTGGGTGCACCACGCCCCCAAGAGTGATCACCCCGCTTTCCAGCTAACCTGGATTCGAAGGTGCGCGCCCCCCCCCCCCGCCCCACTCCCCAAGCGATCGTGTCTGCATCCCCAGGCTGACCTGACCCCGAGGCTTCCCTGGGGGTGTTACCGTGACCCGTGGCCCCACCCCGCCCCTCCCCCGCGGCACCCCGGAACACCTGGCGCAGGTCTCGGTGCGGCGAGCATCCTGGATGCGCGTGTTCCGGCCTCCACCCCCACGCCAGCTCCAGGCTGCGCTCCCATCCAGCGCGCAGGGGCTTCCCCGGTGTTAAGGGAGGGTCCCGGTCAGCCCCTCCAGGCTCCCGGACACCCTTCGCGCCGGTTTGGTCTGTGACTAATGCATTTTCTCCGCGGGAAGGCTGGGCCTGGCCTGAAGACTCCGGGCCCACAGCAGCGCGAGGGGCCTGGAGAGAAGGAAAGGGACGCTGGCCAAGACACTGAGCACATCCACTCGCGGGATCGCCAGCCGCCGCCTCCTCCGCCCGCCCGCGGGGTAGTTGGGAGCAATTACCCCGCTCAGAGGCAGAAGTTTCTGGCAGGAGGAACTTTGGCAATCTGGACTAAGAGGAGAACGAGGTTTCTATGTTGGGCTGGGGGTAAACTCCCACAGGCTTCTGGGGCAGCTAGGAATCCGAGCACGAAGAGGAAGAAAGGACTCCCGGAAACAGACTGTCCTCCCACACTCATACACGTGGGGTTTTCTATGGAAGCTTCTAAGCAATCCCTTTCTTTCCCCCCTCCGCTCTGTGCACCAGGAGCAGAGGATCTTTCAGAGGTGACCCTTCTCAGTGGGCTTCTGGGTGGATCTGAAGATGAAAATGTCGCTAGCAATCAATGCCCGGAGAAAGTGGGCCGTTCTTCTTTTTCTTTTCTCCTTTCCCTCTTTCTTTTTATTTTAATTTTTTTTTTATCATCCTTCAGTATAGTTGTACAAAGGGGTTTTAATTCAACAGTAAACGCATCTTGGTCAATGTCGCCCCTTTTCTCTTTCTCCCTCAACCCCACCCATCTCCTCAATTTTTTCCCAGTTCCATTTCCCCGTGCGCACATTGCATATTAAGACTGCATCCGCAAAAAGAAAAAAAAAAAAGGCTGCATCCGCCCATCCTTCTCTGTCCGTTTATCTGCCCTCCTTACCTTGACCTCATCGCCACCCACCACATAGGTTTCAGCTGCCTGGTATTCATTTGGCTAGACTATAAGTTAATCGGTCAAAGGAGTTACGCCATTGGAATTCTCCCCTGCATATCCCATACTTCAGTTACTATGTTTGTGTATATATGCATATGACCCTGTATGTTTTACACATGCATTCATAATTTAGATCTGACTTCTACATATGAGAGAAAACATGCCTCCCAGAAGAGCATGTTCTACCGGGTGAGATCTTAGCATTGGCTTCTGGTTTTTTAGGTTTTTTTTATGTGGAAAGATCTGCATGTTATAGCCTTGAAAGACAAGATCAGCTGCCCAGGCTAAAAACTCTTGTAAGAAAAACAACCACAGAAGGGGTAAGGAGGGTGTGTGATAAACAGATCAGTGGGAGGACGTTTGCAGGCAGAGCCTCAGAAATTAAAGCCAGCTTGACAGTCCATTTTTAACTCCACAGAGGCAGCTGCACAGCCTGAAGGTCAGGCAAGCTGAGGAAGGAGACTGCTGATAGGCTGCGCCCTGAAAGCAGATTGCCACTTCTATTTCAATAACAAAAGTGGAAAACAAGCAAGTCCTTTAAGCCAATGAAAAAGCCAGAGCTTGGTGCTGGGAAGGTGGCTCAGTGGTGGAGTGCTTGCCTTGCATGCATGAGGCCCTGGGTTCAATTCCTCAGCACCACATAAGCAGAAAAAAGCCAGAAGTGTGGCTCCAGTGAACAGGACCAGTAGATAAGTTCTTGGTCTGGTGTCTGGCTAACTGCGGATAGGCCTCTTAGCCTCTGGTTCTTAACTAGCTGACCCCTTACCTGCCTCCAAATTCAGTTTCTTGAATTAAGATAATGAGGGATGTGAATGAACTCCAAGTAAATAAACATAACAGTTCAGTCTCCTTAGGGTATTTAGGTATAATTCAAACTCCCACTGGGAACCAGCAAATAGTTTGTTCTCTTAGCTCACCTGACTAGCTGAAATTTTGTAACATGCTTTGGGATTTTTGCTGCCCCAAACAATTTATCTGTGTATAGAAGACTTCAAATAATGCTATTTAAAATTTTGTTTTCAATGAGCCTTACTCTTAGGACTAATAGTGTATAAAGAATGATTAATATAAAACACATACAGTAATTAGAATAATTGACAGAGATTTTCATCATTTACATATATAATGTAAATATATATAACAAAAATCTCGATTATTTTTTCCTGCTACCAGAGTTTGAATAGCAGACTTTATACTTGCTTATGCTCTACCACTTGAGCTCTGCTTCCAGTCCGGCTTTTTGGTGGTTATTTGGAGATGGAATCTCAAAGACTTTTCTGGCTTTAAATGAGAATTCTTTGCATCTCAGCCTCCTGTGTAGTTAGGATTACAGGCAAGACTAGTCTGGGCAAGAAATAAACTAGGAAGTAGTGCTGTTTGCAATAATCCCAGTTTCAAGTGAGACATTAGGTAAGAGGATCTCAGTCTGAGATTGTCCTGAGGCAAAAGCTTGAGACCCCATCAGAAAAAATAGCAAGAGCATATAAGCACTAGAAGTATGGCTCAAGTGGTAATGCACTTGAAAGTAGGCTCTGAAAAACAAAAGAAAAGGAAGGAAGAAAAGAAAGAGAGAGATGGAGAGAAGAAGAATAGAGGAAGTAAACTGTTAAGACCACAGTCTTGTCACTGTATGACACAATCTTTCAACATTTTTTTAATGTTATGGATATAGTTGATTCCTTGCTGAAAGTTTACCACACTGGTGTACTCCAAGTGTTAACCAAATGTAGTGATACAAAACCTTGTTTCGGTGCCACTTCAATATATCTTTGAGAATGTAAAAATTGTAGGGACATTGACTGGAAATTAATACTTGCATAGGAATAGAAAATCTCATTGGTTAAATAATTTGTTTTCCTTGCCATTCATATACTTATATATTATACCAAACTACCCAAACCATAACTAAACCCTTTCATTTTTTAATTTGCTGATGGACTTATTACTGACTTCCAAAAAGTAAAAGAAATAGCAGTACCAAATGAAAACCCCATGTTCATCCAATGGTTATGCTAGTATTTAAGCTCCAAGCTCCCCCATGTGGAAATACTCAATTCATCTTATCATTGCTCACACAAAAATGTAAAGTTAGGACACTAGAGTTATTACAATAACAAGTAGTGGTATTTCCATGTGTAATTGTTGGAAATGTTGTCTTGTGTATTCATGATTTGAAGTCTTGCATATTTATTATTATCAGCCAGTTTTCTCATTTACCCAGTGTGAGATATCCTTCCTGAAGTTTTATTAATACATTGACATTCCATGCATCTTTATTTCACTCCATCAACTATAATGCTTAGGGGGTCAGGTGAGGAATGATTGGATTTCTTAATCTGTATAATGGATCCAGGAAAAATTCAACAGGGCATAGAAGTTGATCTGTACAATATTCAAAGTCTTATATAGCAACTTATAGAATTGTGAGGATTAAAGAGAAACTCTTAATCAATGCTAAATATTATATCTTCCTTACAAACAAACATGAAATCTTTAAGTGGATACAATCTCTAGCTTCCCTTGGTTGAAGTAAACTTATAAATCAAGTCCTGGCATGTCTCAGGTGCTTAGTGAGTGACATTATATGTACTGATATTACTACTATTCTGAAATTTCAGTTCTTTGGTTCAGTGCAGCAAGAAAGAGGCTAAATGGTGGTGAGGAAATATCATTAAATTAGGACAAAATTAATGGACTTCCCTGTTTGCAAGAAATCTAGAAGGTATTTGCTACTGCTTAATTGAACCTTATTATTATTATTGATATGGAATTATATTACTTTCTGTTTGTAATCTAGGCAATTGTTTTCTGGAAAAAATAAAGTTTATAGACAATTCAAGTTATTGACTGTAGACTCCTCCAATTGTTTCAAAACATATATTTCCCTCTGTTAGTATTCTGGATGACATAACCATCACTATTTTTAATCCGAGAATGCTTTAGCCAATATGATTTCAGTTTAATGATTAAGTATGCAAAGGGATTTATTCTTTATTATGACACAGGATTTTACATTAAGTAAGGTAACATGAAGAGTTATCTAGTACAAAAGCAAAAACAAGACCCAGTATGAAGCAGTATGTAATATCTACTACTACAAGTTGAATATTCCAGTAGCAGAAGGCTCTAAATTTAATCAGAGAAATTGTTGCCATAGTGACTTGTCTCTTAAAATGGTTGCATGATTTTGTTCTTGTCATAATGCTGTATCTTATTTCTCTCTAAATAAAAGGATTATATGTATAAATGTACACAATATTTGTTTTTCCTTAATTATGGAAAGATTTGCAATTCAAATGTAGATTGTCAGAAAATATCAGCCCAGAAACATGGAGTAGGTTCTTTTATATTTCTGAGGCCAGCCTAGACAAAACTTTGCAAGTCTCAGACTTGAGAATCCCACTAATGGCATGAGATTCCTCGGGAACTTTTTACATGTATAAAGAGAAGAAATTACTTAGAGCTTATCACCCCTCTCTTCTCCCTGTACCAGCCAAATGTTGTATCCTGGTG